TAAAAGGGTTAAAACATGAGAAAAACCTTTGAGTAAATTTAGGGGTAGACAACTCTTAGTTACTTGATCAAACTTGCAAAACACACTTGCCAACTTTTCAAAACCCACTTCACAATACACTTTCAAAACAACTTTCAAAACAACTTTCAAAACAACTTTCAAAACATTTGAAACATCTTTTCGAAAAGATACACACCTTTGTAAAACATTCGAGTAAAGAATTATTACAACGGTTGCCTAGACAAGGCATCTTCTTCAAAACATTTTCAAATACACACACACACACCACCATTTTAAGCAATTGAAAATCAAAGGCAAGTGATCTAAAACAAGTAACTAAGAGCCCATGGATAACCATGAATGAAAAAGATGCTAATACCTTCCCTTTTCATAATCTACCCCCCGAACCCACGAAACATCTCAAAAGGTTTTTCCTGTGCTTTTTAACCTGTCCTTAGGATAAAATAAAAAGTCGGTGGCGACTCTTGCTAAACCGAACAAGTGAGAATACAAACGCAAACCTCAAGTCAGTTCTCCCACCGTGTCACACATGTAAACAATAATAACACATATACAGATATAGACAAAGGTAGGCTCAACCCACTTAGGGATGGACCAGCAGGAGGTCAATCCTTTCCTAGTGAAGTCACCATAGTGCAAATAAAACTTAGCCAACTCAGTAAACTTCGCAGCATATTCAACAACTGACATACTACCTTTCTTCAGCTCAAGGAACTCAATTTCCTTCTTACCACGAACGTATTCAGGAAATTACTTGCTCACAAATTCCCTGCGGAACACAACCCAAGTAACATCCTCACCTGCAGCTTCCAATCTCTGACGAGTCTCAAGCCATCAGCCATCAACCACGACTACTAGCATATGGGTACCATACCGAACCTTTTGCGTTGGAGTTTAGTCCATTACATCGAAGATTCTCTCAATCTCTTTCAACAAATCTAATGCTCCGTCAGGGTCATGCTTACCCTTAAACGTAGGCGGATTATCCCTTTGAAAATTCGCCAAGCTACGAGATCCAGCATTCGGCTGATTCTCCACAGCATGCGCCATTGCTTCTAAAGCAGCAGCAAGTGCAACATCATTCCTTCCAGCCATCTCAACTTATCTCTACAACATAAACAACGGTTAGAACTCAAATTAACAATACTCGATTGTTAAACTACAACTCGACAACTTGGTCGGACAGACCAACTTGCTCTAATACCAACTTTATAACACCCCAATTCTATCCAACAATTATAATAAGATCAGAGTTACAAAAAGTTAAACAACTGAACCAGGATGCCACAAATTCAACTTAAAAACCATTACATTCAACATGGATACATAACACTTTAAAACTTCGGATGAACCAACAGCAAAATAAGTTAATCTTTTAAACCAACAACTTGAACAACTACGCAACAGAATCATAATAACATCTTTGTCTAACGTGAACAACTCCAAATAACAATCATTTAAAGGAAAATATCTTACAGTTCAATCAACTGAAATAATAACAATAATAAACAGCAAGCGCTCATCCCCCCGAGTATTACATATCAAAGCAATGACACCGACTCGACATATTGAAGGTAAACCGCCTTCACTCTAGATTTCCAACACATTACCATCATCAGGATAACATTCAAACAGAAGGGGTGAGATTCTCAAATCAAATAAGTGAGCGCATGATAAATCATATATTAGAATTCAGGAATATAAAACCATCACATTGCAAATATCAACATTGTCATGCCCTTCATAATACATCTTTTCACAAACCTCACTTGTTTTAATCACAACTTAAATCATCACAATTCACATCATTATTACTTATGCAAGACCTGATGAGACACAACCGTGCAAATGTATGTGTTACCAACAGGGTAAAATCCTCATCATAATAATACCAACTTAGGACAACAACATCATAATGTCAATACATGCCATCGCTCGCCAATACAGGCCATCGCTCCATGAATGCATGCGAAACTGACATGCAACAACTTAGTTTACATTGATCATTAATACTCATCAATGTGTCACCAATACAGGCCATCGTCGTCATCATTATCATGCAATACATCATGCAAAATCATTCGTACACCGTTTATACATACGAATACATTCAATCGCAGCATTTTGAATTACAACACATACAACATACACACACATTAAAAATATTCAAATAAAATGTTAGTCTACTGCCATCGAAATTATTAACAAATCCTAGAAAATATTTTTAGCTTTCCAACGATTCAAACGGTGCATCAAACAAACACCCGAGTCAAAAGTTATGGAGTTTTCAAGTTTTCAAAATGCTGTCAAACAGTGAGCAATCGATTGCACTAACAGAGCAATCGATTGCACCCTGTTCCAGAGGCCAAAAGTCACGTTTTTAAGCAGTGCAATCGATTTCTCTTTTGCTGAAATCGATTGCTTACTGAAATAGAAGCAAAAATTCCAATTTTTGAGCAGTGCAATCGATTGCTCTTCTGCTGCAATCGATTGCACCTTTGTAAAAAACAATTTTACGATTTCTGTAAAGTACAGTATGAAAATCCTTTTGTCTCAACCCAAACAACACAAACTTCATGATATAATACACAGTCAAATTTCCAATTATCCTGGCTACCAACATACATCAATGGCCACACATATATAACATCAATTATACACATAATGCATCAAAATCAATCATCAAAGTGTAAAACCCCAAAACAACCACATAGGGAGAAATCAAAAGCATACAACCATGGAACCTAAACTCTATCATACCCCATCATTATTCAAGCCCTTATAGATTTATAATCCCCCCTTACAATTTCTCATGAGCCCCATTATAGGATAAGAAACCCCACCCTTACCTGGTTTGGTTTAAAGGCAACTCTATGGGTCGCTGATTGAATCTCCTTTTGACCTCTTGGGTCAACTTCACGTATCCCTCTTCTTCTCCAATAACCTTATCTTTCTCTTTTTACTGATAACTAACTTCTCTTCCTCTCTTATTTCTAATAATAACATAATATTATTATATTAGTCCAAATAAATTCAATTGGACCTAACTTACACCCCCACTTTACTACTTCCAACCAATAACATAAGTCCAACATTAAAATTATTATTAATCAACTAATTAATTAATTAATAAAATCCAACAACTTTTCACAATAATTCTCAACATCTCCCAATTTCACAAATAATCCAAAAATATAATATAATTAAATAATTAATTAAATTAACGGGCGTTACACTCAGCGTATTTGGTAGGACGCTGCTTGCATTTGACAATTTGACATAATCAATGTTTTGAAGCCCTCTTAGTGCGGTTTAGATCGGTTTGATGTGTAAAATAAGCGAGTCGCGCTTAGCGCGCCAGGCCCGCTTAGCGCAGTATGATGAGATTTGTGTTATAACTTTCATTTCAGCTCATTTTTAGGGATGATTTTGGTGATGTTTTTGCTCCCAACTCCATCAACCTGTAAATTTTGTTAGGATTAGCTTAGATAACAACTATGGAGCTTGCATATGGATCATCCGAGGTGGATTGCTCTTCGATCGGCGCTGACAAATCGGTAGATATATGATTCATTTCTCTTCCTCTTTGTGTATTCTCTATTGGTTGGATTTGTATATATATTTTCTTTGAACTGATATATATTTGGCTCACTTGGCGTTATATAAAACTTGCTTTACGAATCTTTGAGGATTGTTATCCTGGATTTTTGCTTTGTGCTAGAGATTTGAGTTGTTATAGACATATACTGCTTACATTCTTATTTAGGATGATTATCTGTTAGTTTCTGAACTCTAGAGATAGATTTAGAACAGACAACTATTTGGCTATCAGAGCTTAATGCCTCCTTCTTGTGTTTTTCTCACCTTTATAAAGAAGCTTAGAAAAGTTCTTTATGATGGATTGCAAGAGCATAAAATTATTTGGGTCAAGGTTTGTGTTCTTAAATAATCGTATAACTAAATATTTTTTTTATTTATCTAAACATTTTTTTCTCATATACCAGAAACAAATGCAAGCAATATCTAACATTTGATCTTCCTCAAGATTCAATGATTCAAATATTCAACATCTGATCTTCACTACCAATGACGACGATGAATCAGATTCAAAATTTGTTACATATTTTTACTTTAATATTTTGTGTAAACAATATAATATTCTATGTAAATAATATAATTTGTAAACAAGACAATTATTAATATTATGTGTAAACGATGTAATTTGTATTATATTTTCTCCTTGATTTTGATCATAAACCGAGAAATATGTGACACTAATTTTAAAAATATAAAAAATTATCGTTAAGGATCAAACTAATGACTATTTCAACTATCCTCTCAATTACTTTAAAATCGAATAATAAAATGACAAGATTTTATGATGTTTTTTATTACCTTACTTCTATAACCAAAATTAAATCAACTTTATGTCTGAGATTAAATCACTTTTTTTTTTAGTAGTGTACTCTCTTTTATTGGAGATTTCCTTTTATTGAGGACTAGATCCTAAAGTGTTTGGATGTGGCAGTATCTCATGTTGCAAAGGATACGAGTTGCGTAGAGATTCCTGCTCCACTGAAGTCCACAGTTTATGTCTTGAACTTAACCTTTACAAAGATGTATCCCATCAAGAATAATGGTGAGGAGAAAATTACTTCAAAGAAGAGTGATCCATCTAATAATATGTGTCATGGATTTTGGTGATTTTTTTTTGTAGTCTAAACTATTTGATTGTAGAAAAAATATACTTTTACTAATGAATTTAATGCACTTAGGGTATTTTTTCTTGCCTATATCAAATTAAAAAAGGAAATAAAAAAAAAAGTCATTAAATAAGATACTTCACATATAGTGTGATTAATTGAAATTAAACATGTTTAGTACATGTATTCTAGGACTCTCCCCTTCACAAATATCTGACAATTTCAGTGTTATTGCCACTTTTTCCTTAAATAAAAAATACTATTAATTAATTAATTTTATAATACTGCATTATTTGATATTTGAGATAAATTATAAGTTTCTCTATGTTGTTGTTCCATGAAAACTCCATAATACATTTGAAAATCATCAATGAAATTTTGATCTTCATATTTTATTTCCACATGTTCCATCTCATTTTCACAAGGAATACATGTATTCGCATTCACATTCTCCTGATCAAACAGCGAAGAAGAAATCAATTCCATATCAATTAAATCATCAGAATCAATGAATGACGACATAAAACAATCTTGATCATCCATATATTCTCCCATGTTGTAATTTTGAGTGTCATTTATCTCTGCTTCAAGTGATCGAATCATACTCACAAGTTTATCATCACCAAAGTATTCATCTTCATATTCATGTGTTTCTTCCATCAAAGACATGAGAATTACATTATTCGCCTCCGAGAATTGATCGATTCCTATCTCAATTGAAGAAGACATTGTTATTACAATGAAAGTTTGACTTTTTTTTAAGTTTACAATTATATGAATGATGAATTGAGAGAGTAAAGAAAGTATAATGAGTTTGAAAGGTAGAGAAATGATCCTTTATATAGAAAACTATGTAAATGGAAATAAGATTCATATAATTGTGACAACATAAGAATCTTAGTAATAGAAATAATTATTCAATGGTTTGACACATTGATGTCTATTTGTGAAGCAACATAAAGCATGGTTCCATGTGAACATAAATTATGGTATTAGATACTTAACTGTAATGCTCCTAGTGGGGCATCTCAAACCAGTTGACAAGATGTCCTTCCACCTAAGGATCAATAATTTAGCATCAAATTAAGTTGATTCTAACTAGACTAACATATATTTTCTGTCTATTGTATTGTAATATTCTAATTGGAGGATTGAGAAAATGGGAATCAAAAGAATCCAATTCTCCACTCAATTACGTATTTTTATCATAAAAGATCGATTGGTGGAGTTATCGTGGATCAGGTTACTTTAGATTTTGTATCAAATTTCAAGAGTTTTTCATTCATTTAGATCGAATAACATGTTTCTTTAAATTATTTTTTATGTTCCATGTAATTTTTGGTAGAAATCGAATTATTGTTATATAATTAAATTATTCCTTTCAGTTAATGAATCAAACCAAATAGTTTAACAACTAAACCGAACTACAATTAACCGAATCAAAGAATAATTATTTATAGAAAATGGAAAAATTAGTGAAAAATTAGAAGAAATTGTGTTGTACCAAATTCCTAAGAATTAAATTCTCACAAATAATTTTTAGAAAATGATTATACCCATATGTATGTTAAGAGTTTGAAGAAAATTTAATTTTAAATATAAAGGTTCTATAGAATAAAATAACTTTCAATAACTTTTATAATTTTAATGATTTTATTCCTATGTAAGAATGTGAGAATATTCATTCCCATGAAATTTCACATGAATTTATTATTAAAAAATATAATTATTAATTTTCTTAGGAATATCGAATAATATGTCAAACACATTTTCTTAAAAATATCCAAGAATTATTTCTCAGAATCTCATTTGAATCTTTGAACCAAACGCACTATAAGGAGAAGAGATTCTCTCCAATGTGATTTTCACTAGAGAGGATGAAGTGGAGATTTCAACCAATGATATTTTTTCTTTTCTTGATTTGAATAATTTTATGTGGTCAAGATTTCAATGTTTTTTCACTTCGCTGGTGACAATCTTATCTCATTCCTAAGATTTTGATGATAACAACGTATTTAAGGAACAATAGAGTATACTAATTTTTGTTCGAGTGTGCAGGACTATAGATTAAAATTTGAGATACAAGTTAAGTTCTGACACTAAAAATTGAACATTAAATAGAAGCTTGAAGATTCTGAATCTGAATGATCTACACTTGAGCATCAAACTCTGAAGACTTAGGTTCTGAAGGTAAACTTCTGAAGACCAGACTTTGAATAAAATTCTCTGAAGATCCAGACTCTGAAATTAGTCAAACAGAAAGATCAAGATGACTCGAAAGGTCACTATCAGAATAAGAAGTCATTTTGTCTTCTTTTGATCATGTGCAGAACCAAACAAAAATATGCACAAACAACAGGGATGAAACAATAATTCCTTTTGGAGCAAAGATTTTTCAAATTGCTTTTGCAAGGGATTAACCATATCAAGTAACATTCTAATGTCTCTGATCAAAGCTTCTTCAAGACTCACTTGTTCATGAAGTCTTCTTCAACAACTCTTTTCCGTCTCTCTATATAAAGGTTAAAGTCTTGAAGAAACAATAACAAACTATTGGCAAACAAATAATTGTTACTCTATCAAATCAAAAGTATAAGTTTAACTTAGAATTTCTTAACACTTGTATATCTTAGAAATTCTTAAGTCTTTAGAGTCTTTCTGTGTTGTATTTTGTTTACACCTCTTATTGTATTTCAAGTGTAATACTCAAATAATATCTCTCTCTCTCTCTCTCTCTAAGTTAGATTGTAGAAGTCTCTTACTTGAATGTTTGAGCATCTGAAGTCTCTTGCTTGTGTACTTGAGCATCTGAAGTATCTTGCTTGTGTGCTTGAGCATTAGAAGTCTCTTACTTGTGTGTTTGAGCATTAGAACTCTCTTTTTTTGTGTGCATGAGCAATTGTAATCAAAAGTGAATATATTGAAATCTCTTGGAAGTACAACGGAACTTGACTACTCATGATTTGTGGAAGGAAATAGGATAAACTGCTTATATCTCTTTTTCTCTTTCTCTCTAACACTGACGTTGTTTTTATTCGCGGCAAACAACTAACCTTGAATCAGATTCTAAACCTTGTGTTTAGAATCTGATAAGATGTTTTGAAAAAGAAATAAAAAATCTACACAATTCAACCGCTTTCTTGTGTTTTTCTCACCTTCATCTATGATATCTATTGGAAATGATGGTGGTGGTTTCCCAAAGATCACTTGTTAAATAATAGACAAGGGTATTGTAATTCCATTTAGTCCAATGGAAAAATTTACCCACTGGATGCTTGTGCACAAAACAACACAAATATTACTGTAAAAATTTGTTCACCACTTTGGTTTGTCCGTCACTTTGGGGGTGATATGCATTAGACATTTGCTTATTAGTTAAACTAATGAAAAAAAGTTGTTGCCAAAAGTTATTTAAGGAAAACCGGATCACGATCTGAAACTATACTTTTTGGATAACCATATTGTGTGCAGAACATTTTGGCAGACAAATATGCAACCTTTCTTGCTGTAAAATGGTAAGTAGCATTCCAAAGTGTGTGGCTTTGGATAGACGTTCCATGTTGGTCACATCTTGTTTCATACCAGGCCAATAGACATTTTCTTTCAACCGGTCATACGTTCTCCGGATGCTCGCATGACCACCTAACAAAGAATAATGAAATTATTCCAACGATGTCTGTTTCATTGGTGACGTTGGTCAAATAAATAGCTTGCCTATAAAAATTGGAGCTTTTTTTTATCTGATAATCCGGGGCTTTAGGATTATGTATAATCTTTGTGATTAATTCTTGGGATGGTCAATCAATATCAAGTTGTTCTCTTAACTACACAATGAAATTTCAATGAGGGACAATCAAGATGCAACATTGAAAGTTTATTTTTGGGATTTGAGATAATGTGTCGGCGACTCAATTTTGTGCCTTGAGTTTATATATCATCTCATAGAAGAATTCCATCAACTTGACCAAGTAAAATTGTTGTTCCAGCGTTTAAATAATCTGGGTCATGAGTTCTGATGACACTTTATCATTGCATATATTATGTCGAAGAAACGGTGAAAAACGAGCCAAAGATCACTTAACTTGATGAAGAAAAGCCAAAGAACGAAGAAAAAATGACAAAGTATAAAGAAATAGAGACTTGGAGAAAATTTGCTGAAAAAGGGAGCAAACGCGTGTGAGCCACTAAAATAATCACGCCACCATCACGCGCCATCGCGTGTGTGATGGACCTAGGTAAGTTGCATCGTATGCGCGATGCAGGTTATCACGCACGCGATGGGCCATTTTCTGGGCACTTTTCTGACGCAATCTAGCAGCTCATGAAGGCTTTTAAAAAAAGGGGTTTTAGCGTTTTTTGGGGGTTCTGCGATTTTACACTGGAAGTGACGATTTACAACACCGAAATACATATTTGGAGCGTATTGGAAGTCATTGGAGGCCAGTTCTTCAAGGGATCTCTTATCCAAAGCTCTTATATTTTATTGTATTGTAATTTACATTACGAATAGCTAATTCTCTCATAGGTTAAGTTTTGTTTTATTAACTTTTTTCAATCCTGTTGAGACACATGTTTGATTTTTTATTGCATAATTAATTGGAGTTATTATTTTATTTAAATTCACCTTGATCTTAAAGTTTTTTATGTGAGATACTCTTTTAATATGATTTTGGACGCACATGGAATACTGACCAATATTCTATACATTAGACCCATGACAATTTTTGTGCTTATGCAGGTTGAATAGTGTGATACGGTGGCAGAACCGACAGTTTAATACTAGTTTTGTGTTTTTTTGTTAGCAAATGTCATGGTAAGCAAGAGTCGCCATCGACTTTTCTTTTATCCAACAAAAGGAAAGGATGAAAAGAACATAAAAGACCTTTTTTGAGAGTTTCTGAATAAGGGGGTAGATTATGGAAAGGGAGGGTGTTAGCACCCTTTCCATCTGTGGTTTTCCATGGGCTCTTAAGTACTTGCTCATTTTTGAAAACTATTTATGTTTGTGTGTTTTGAAAAATTTATCAGCTTTATGGTAACTCTCGTATCAGTCCTCGAGAATGTGATAAAGCGTTTTTTAAAGTAGTTTTTGAAAGTGTGTAAGTGTGAAAAAAGTTGTTCTTGAGCAAGTACATAACAGTTATCTACCTACTCGAAAAATGATGTTCTTTTCCTCCTACCCTTTAGATAGTGCTATCCTACTATTAGTGAGTAGGTAGCCCTATCATTGGATGTTAAGGGACTATCAAAAGGGACGCTTATGGTCATTGAAGGAAACATGTAAGGTTATCTTAGCATTTCGAATGGACTTTCATCATATAGGCAACATCAAGGGACAACATCATTTTCTCGTAGGAAACTCGAGGGACGTTTAAGGACCGTGATCTTTTATGATGACTTTTATACCAAGGGTCTTTGCTAAGATATCCATACGCTCGAGGGACATGACCATTATTTTCCGAGGCAACCAAGTGAGGTATACCCTAAGGGTGCAAGTGTGAGGAATATGTTCAATTTTTAGATATTTATCTTATGTTAGTGATCTAAGGATTAATTGACTTTATCTTGTCATGCACGCCTAATTTACTAGCAGTTAATATTTAGCAGAAATTTAAAGTGCGAGAATTTAAATCTACGCTATTACAATGTTTTCGGGGAGGGGGAATTTACATTTCTAAATGGGGGAAAGAAAATAAAGAAAAGCAGTAAAGTCCTATTTTAATCTATTA